CAGTGTGCTGGAAAGCCCCCAACCGAGTGAATCATAGTTGGTAACGAACTGCTCTGCGCCTTAGCGAACCCCTTTCCCCCACCCACACCGTCGTCCATAGCCCCGCTCTTTATAAACAGCCAACCCCGCCGTACTAGCTTTCGTTCCTCACCCCTCCTCACCCCTCCTCACCCCTCATCCCGACGCTCATCATCTCATCTTGACTCTTTTTTTTTTTTTTTCGTTTTACGATACCACCAACTCTCCAACATGTTTCCCACCGCCTCCCCCCAAACACCGTTCTTCCCTATCGGTTGCCCTACAGAGCCTCCCCCTATCGGTTGCCCTACAGAGCCTCCCCCAAACTCCCTCGACGCTTCCGTTACTCGCTTCACTCCTCCCGCTACCAAACCTCTTACCCCCCCACCTGCTTGCAAGGGCCGCTCCAAGCGCAAGCCCAAGGGGATCATTCGCTTTCTACCCGATGGAACCCCTTGGACTTGTGCCAGGTGCAAAACCATCATCACCCCCGTCCGCCGTAGCGGATCGGGCGGCGTTGCAACGCTTTGCAACGCATGCGGCTTGCGCCGCTCCAAAAACATCCGCGCCGCCCTCGAAGGGGGTATTTCCAAGAAGCGCGGGAAGAAGGGGCCCAACGCCAAGGTCAAATCGAATGAACGCAAGGCAGTTGCGCAGAAAAAGACGGTCAAGAAGGCTGTTGCGCTGCAGCAACACCGACAAGATGTGCCAGTTGCCAACAATACGAAACAGCCTGGCCGCTTTGTTCACCATGGAAACGACCAACATCCGAATCAAAACACACCGGCGCTTCAGGAGCAGCAGCCGGCCCGAGTCTCGCAGGCTGCTGGGCGTGTACACTACGTCATTAAGGAGGAGCAATGCGCGACAGTGGAGCAGACTGCGTATGGCATAGCGCAGCACCAGCCTCCCGCGCATTGGGAAGCACAGTACCAGCCTCCATACGGTTCCCCGGAAGAGCAATCTCCAGCCTCGGACACTTCATATGAAACTTACGCTGTCAAGGATCACAGCATCCCGGTAGAGTATTTGCCGGTCACCGCGCAGCACCAGGAGCGGGTATATGGGGAGGCAATACAAGAGGAGCTCGCCGCAGCGGTCGGCTGGGAAGCCCAGAACAAATGCGTCCCTTGGCCGGTGGCAGGAGGCTACGCTCCCGATGGCCACATCACTGAAGGCGAAGGTGGAAACCTGCAGGGCAACGAAAATGGAGTATCACATCTATTTGGATCGATGACGTTGCACGCGAATGTGATGAGGACGCAGGAGATGCAGGGTGAGCATGAAGGCACGCTGGGCGATAGATATGAAGACCAAGTGTGTTCACCAGCACTCCCATTGTCGATGAGCACGGAGAGCGACGAAGTGCTGGCGGCAATCGCTTGCGGGATGGAGGGTGCTTCGCACATGACGGATGCGCCATCTCCCCTACCGTCGGCGTCGGAGCCCATGGCAGCGGGGTTGCAGCGGTGTCTACAGAGCATCGCTGGACGAATTGCATCACAGGAACTGATGCTGCACCGCCTGAACGAGGTGCAGTTTCAACTACTCGCCGACGGGAACATTGGAGATGCGGTGTCACAGGCGCGCCGGGAGATTGCGGGGCTGAGGGACTACGGTCGTGATACGATAGAAGTGATGAGGGGGTTTGCTACAGCTCTGCTTGGCGGAAGGGAGTGAGACGTGGGACCAAGGTTGGAGGAAAAGGCTTTAGTTGTTTGTAATGCGTGCTCATCGTGTGTTTGTCGTTCAGTAAATTTTTTTTGCGTGTTTCGAAGTGTGCGAAACGAGTGGTGTCGGTAGAGTTTGAAGCGAGAGTCCAGATGCGGCTGTCGCCGCGCTACAGTACGAGCGAGATGGAAGGGTTCGACCTGAACAGGTGGCGTTCACGCCACCTGCATAGAGCATCGCGAATGGGACATGGGCAACCTATCATTCGTAAGGCATGTGTGCGGGCAGCGAGCGGGACGCTGTATCGAGGGACGAGGGAGAAAGGAAAGGGTGGAAGAGGGACGGACGTGGGAGAAGAGTGTCTGAAGAGTGTCACGGGCAACTCATTGGCATGTTGGCTTGAATGTTTGAAGGTCATTGCAAGAGCGGATGCGAGATTTCAAGGTCACAGGAGTGATGGAAAAACTTGGACAAAGACGAGAAGAACGATAGAACGATACTGGTACAGTTGCATACGGCCGATCATAAGGCCAAAAGCCTCCCAGTGCTCCGTGGGGGAGGTTTCGACGGCTAGGTACAAAAAATCGCTGACGTGTCTCTCATCTTGTCTTGTCTTGAAGGGGGGTTGCCCTACATTTTGGACAACGCCAAAATAGCTCGGATATGCAAATTATTTGAAAACACCCGTATGCACCGGGCCAAAGGCATGAGCTCATGGCACCGGCAGCAGATGGGCACGTATTCCCCGAAACTGCGTGTGCATACTGTACATTTAATTAAAAACTAAATAGTGCATCCCAAATGAAACGATTTATTTACAGACGCCTCGGTGTCCTACAGTGGTGGAAAAGATATATAAAGCACCGTCAGTGATTCTTTAGAAAAGAGCCTCGCTTGGAAAAAGAACGAGAAACACGAATCTGTCAATGGTGTGTATGCAATATGCACGGCAAAAGCATATTCAAAGGTAGAAATCTTTATAAAGCACCATACCAGACCAGAACCCCGCCAACAACCTGTTTCGCTCTTTGCGGTGAAAACGCAATTTTAATGCATAAAAAAGCACGAAATGCGTCCCACCCACCCTCTGGTAGCTTCCACACCCCCAAAACATGCCTTTTAGACTTCAGTTGAGCGATGACGTGCGTGGGAAAAATCTTGCCCTCCACCAAGCCAAATGATCGCAGCAGCGCTTCGCTAAAGAACTCAAACGCAGTGGGCCTATCGTACAGAACTTTCTCTACTGTCCTGATGCGTATAGATATAGGAAAAGGAACGGTAGGCCAAGCAAGCTCACATTTGCAGGTAGAAGACGCATAATTTGGGAGGCGTCAGGGGGATTAATGGGATCTTATCAGCTGTGCTAATCAATACGGCTCCCGGCTCAAACTCTACTGGTAAAGGGGGGGTGCTGGAGACGTCGGACAAAAACCTCAATATTAAAAGGAAAAAGTATTTGTAATTGTCAAGCAATCACCATTTTTTTATGTTTTGCGACGGGGACACTCTCAGCCTGTCGTCCACTGGGACTTGGCGAAAACAACCACGGACACAGAAGAGGAGTGAGATTGAAGCGCGCGGACACTTTTGCACCTCAACCGAGCACTAAGATCGGCCATCCAAGCAAATAAATAAAAAATAGAAAAGTCCGCCTATTTTGTATTTTTGGGTTGTTGCACACTTATACGTAGAAAGCCGTAAGCAATCGATTGAGATATTTTTTCTTTAATTTCAACCACGTCGTTCTGATATACGGCGCACTATCTGGCGCCGTTACGCGCGGCGGTGCTCCTTGGCCCGTGTCGGAGATATTTTTCAAAATATTTTGCATGTCCGATTTTTTTGTCACTGTCCGACAACACCAGCAACCCCCCTTTACGACAGATGCTCCATGTGTAGTATAACGACAGACGGGCGGAGGCTAATAATCTGGGGGCCGTGCACGGTGTACACGTGGACGAGATGTATCGATCTCTGCGCAAGGGAAAATCTAGAGAGAAACCTCTGCAAAACATAAAAAGTTCGAAATGTTACCGTCGTCGGCGAAAAAAAAACATTTCGGAAATAAATTTTGCCCTCGTCGGCTCTTCTAATTCCCGCGCTTCCTCCCTCAGCCCTCCCCGCTCTCTATCTCAGGGCCTCCTTTAAGACAGCATGGACGGGCATGTTTGGACATGTATGGACGTCAGCGTGCACCTGATTGGTCCATTTAATACTTTTCTTAACAGTATGATGGCGCACACAAAGTTAATATAATGGAATCTGTCGCTACCAACGTGCCATACGAGAGCACACCATTGGCTGTCGCCTACCGCATAAGTGCGATTAAATTCAATCTTGATCCAATTTAGCATACATTAAAATTCAATTTAATCATTTTATTGACGTCCCTGAATGCCAGTACACGGGGATCGCGATATAGTGCCTCCCTCTGTCAGTGGGCCGAAAACGGCACTATATCGAACCAGGCACTATAAGATAATGAGATTTGCGGCTTTTTTGCAGCCACTTCCTTGCATCACTGCTCAGAAAGACTGTTCGCTTCCCTATCGATAACCCGGTATGATGCACCCCTTGAGCCAATTTACGGATCACGGCGCGCTGACACAATACATTAAATTATTGGACATGTAATATTTTGAAAATCGCAAACATATACATCCAAACATGGCTGACCATGCTGTCTTAAAGGAGGCCCTCACTCTCCGGCACCCCGCACAGCCGGTCGCTCTCCCACCGTCCGGCACTCCGCACAGCCTGTCGCTCTCCCACCGACATGCAACACGCCTTGGACATCGCCACCTTTCGCCTTCCACTGTTCTGCCTCTACTGGCGAGTCCCCCACGGATCTACCGTCACACAGCGGCTGAGATTGATCTCACGCGGAAGAGAGGACTCCGACGACAACTGCAGTAGTTGCAGTGACATGAGCAAGTCACACGCTGCTCTATTCGAGGAGGCTGTGTTCGGGAAGTTCGTTTCAGTAAAGGCTCGTGAAGCCTCTATTTCGTACGTAGACTACAAAGGGAAGGTGGAGGGGCGCAATAAGTTCAGCATTCTGGAGACTCTGATGGAAGTCTCCAAAGACTTCTCGAGTCATGGAAAAGATACGGAGAGAAAATAAAAGCAGGGTTGGTGGGAGTCACTATGCTGCGGTCGAGAATTAGATTGAAAGACCGAGCACACCGGGTCGCACGCATGAATGGATGGAAGAGGAAGTTTGGTCTGAGCCGGACTATGTAATGGAAAGCAATGTTTGCGATGTGGAGAGTAAAGCTAAGTGTGTCAACCACGACAATGGATACCACTACACGTTTTTGCTGTGGACTGAGTGGCTTTCGGAGGAAAGCCCGGAGAAAGGAGATGAACTGAGAAAAACTGCAGCACAGATGAGTGCGCGGCGTAAGGGGCGAATGGAGAGCCTTTTCTACGGCCGTCTTTTAATGGCCGCGGAATACTTAGGGGATGAAGAAGATAAGAAAGTACAAAAAGGAATTTTAGAGCTAGCCAGACGAACAGGACGACTAAAAAAGAACCTAGGAGAGGGAATAAGAGCAAGGCATGCTGAGAAGAAAACACGAGAAACTAGCAAACTGTCGAGGTCCAATTGCGTGAACGTCGAATAAAAAGGCGGAAGCAGAAACACATCGCTCACGTACATGGTATTGTAACGAAATAAAATGCAGCATTTTGCTTTCTTCTTCGTCTCCTTATCACAAGAAGTCATGTTACGTCAGCTGGATAACTGAGGAATCGGCTTTCCACCTTGGTCTCACAACGCAACCTTTTACCGAAGTAGTCGATCCAATTCTTCCAATTTCCTACCAAATATTTGAGATTCATTATTTCTCACCATTACACAACATATATTTCCGACCTAGTGATCTCGCTACAAGCCTCACATAAAATCGACAGGAGATCCCTCCTCCATCCCGGGCCCCCATTACGCTGTGTTCTCATATGCTTCTCGACACCCCGCTTCTACTCTTGCACTTATCCTTCATGCCAACTCCGGCATCCTCCCAACTACTCTTGCTTCCTGCCTCTTACTCTTCTGCGCCTTTTCGCTGTTTATTTGTCTCGCGCTCCTACACCTTCTGCATGCAATAAAAAGTGCATTATACAGCGTTGAGACTGGTCTCACGCTGGAGCGGGGCAGCGCATGGCTCATTTCAAGGTTTCGGATCTGTAGTGACTCGAAGGTTTGGTTCGGGAGCCGTCTGGTGTTGCCGACGAGGTTTGGCGGCTGCCATCTAGTTAGGAAGTAACACCATCAAAATCGCTCAGGGATATTGGTGCAGTCTTGCTTAGATTAGAGGGACTGTGGCAGCATGAAGGACGTGAGGTCTGCCTCTGTCTTTGCGAATGTAAACTTATCTACGGAGAACGGTGAACGTCAGGCAAAGGTGGATGCGTTCTTGAATTTCATACAAACAAAATCGATGAGGTTTATCGCTAAAGATGGTACCAAACCTAACTTTACCAAAGAAGATATCAATGTACTTGGCTCTTACATAGACAGAAACTTGAAGCAACAATCCTGTGAAGATGAGGTGTTGAGTTGGGTTGAGTACTGCCAACCACAGATGCAGCTACACAGTGTGCTTCTCGATGCCGGTTTGGATCAGCTTGGACCAAAGAGGATCGGCAGGACGCTACCATCGGCAATGGGTCAATGGGACAATTCACCCAAGGATTTTTTCCTTCGGAAGTGAGGCGACAAGCTGCGCCAGTAAGCGCAGGTCAACGAGGGACGCTCCTCGAAGAGCCCCCTCGTTTATTCCGTGAGCACGGAGCAATGTGCGATAGACGCTGGCGGCGCCGTCGTTCTTTTTGATAACATCTGGAGAGGACGGGGGAGGTCGAATCTCCCCTGGTCGATTGGACTGCGTCGACGATTGGTGACAAGGGTGCGGCAACTGGAACAGCCGCAGGAGAAGGGGGACGAGCTGGGACGGGCACAGGGGAAGGCGGTGCAGGAGGAGCCGAGGGGGTAAGGGACGAAGAATTTCCCTTCCTTTCTGGGGCTGCGCGCACGGACAGACTGTCAGTCCGGCTAGATGACGAGGGGGCCTCTCTCGTCTCTGATAGAGGTTGACACCTGGCCACTGGAGGT